TGCGGCTAAGAGTTCCCAAGTAGCTCTTAAGAACTGAAAGATTTATAGCTGAAGTGGATGAAAGAGACTCTGTGCACACTGAGAAGAAAATAGACAATTACTAAAATGGACTCACTAACTCCCAAATTCATTGATTTAAACGAAAAGTTTTTAAGTTTTATGACTAACTGTATACTAATTGTAAAAGACCTTCCTTTCTTGGGTTTTTAGTTATAGTGTGGGTTTCTTTATTTACTGTCTATATCCCGGGGTTTTTTATTTTTCTTCCCCTTCCCTTTTTCTTTTTCTGTAGTCACGTAGGTGTAACAAAAAATCAATAAAACTACCCTGTCTTCAGGGGATTTTAAAAAAAAAGAATGCGGGAAGAAGTGCCAGCAGTACAAGTTTCCATTGAAAGTATGGCTGTATGAGGGGAGGAAAAATAGCTCCGTTTGAAGTCAGGTCTCTCAGATACTAGATACTCTTTTGTTTCCCCTCCCCTTACCCTCTGTAATACAGAATGCTATGATATTATTTTGGCATAATCCGTGATATCTAAAAACTCTGTGATCTGTGTGTTAAATCTGCGGACTGGTTAGTCCCTTTTGTGGATTTATTTTTAATGTTGCTGTAACGACAACGTGTGTCTAAAACTAGAACACACTATCTCAGGACATTCTGACCTGCTCAGCCAAGCATACTTTGAGTGGGAGTGAGGCTCGTAATCTTACTTGCCTTAGCTACCTTACCCTAAGTTGGGCCATCAGTCCGTCAAGGCTAACCTTGTATATTCTGGCAGTGGCTCTTCAGGTGCAAGGACGAGGTCTCTTCCATCTCCCTGGTCCTTTTAACTGGAGATGCCGATGACCTTATCCTTTCACAGCCCTTTCTTGACCCCTCAGGGTGGGGCCATCATAACTGTCTCAGCCAGGTGGCTAAAACTGTAGGAGGTTCAGACAGGTTCAGTCCCCCGCTCCCATCTGCTTACTTTAACCTTGTTCACATGTCACAGTAAGCACATATGCAACCTACATGTGTATGTGTATAACTGCTTGTAAGAAAGATCCAATGTGCATTCACTTTACAAATGAAACTGGGGACCAGTATCTGGATAAATGTGAGGTTCCAATTCCATATTCACCTGTACACGTGTCAAATCAAGTGTACACTGTGCACGGATTGTACATACTTTCACTGTAACTTGTAAACAGGGCTTTTATCTTCTCATTTCAAGGCTGTCATCAGATTTCCTGTACACGCAGGGCCAGCGGGTCATGAATTTTGCTTTGTGAAGTTCTTGTGTAAGACAGTGATTCTGCATGTGCTGCTTCTGAATGCTTAGCTTTCAGAGACTTAACTTGTTGGCTGAATTTCAGACCACACGAGGAGGAGGAGTTGCTTGCCCTGACTAAAATAATGTAGTTTGTCCCAAAGAACAGCTCTCCTGGGGCCTGAAAGGAATTAAGTAGGCAGTCTCTTGGCCTGACGTTTGAATGTCAGAGGATTGGTGTGGCCTGAGATAAATGCAGACGAGGGCAGATGATTTCCAGTACTCAGAATGGAGCAAAGGGAAGAGATGGGGATTTGCAGCCAAGTATACTTGGAAAGTCATTATGGCAGATCATGAAATGGTACTATGTGTAAGCACCCGAAGGAAATCTGTAATTCTTTGTAGCTAGCATGGGTTTATTAAAACAGTTTGGTTCTGAGGCTTGGAAGCCATTGTAGTTTATGTAGACCTCCAGAAAATTCAGCTTTTAAAATTCAAAATAAGCTCGTGGTCCTCATGGTTTCAGTAAATCTGAAATCAAATGGAAAGTTTGTTAAAAAAAATTAGGAGGTGGAGGGGCTGGGATTATGGAGTCTAGTGGAGCATGACTTTTTCACTGAACTCCTGGTCTGTCCCTGTTAATTTGTATCCCACCTTGTTTTGAGGCTCAAGGCAGCTGACATGTCACAACTAGAACATTATAATTGAAACTCAACAAAATAAAAAACCCTTACCCTGAAGATGCCCACAGTTTATACCCCATTAAAAGCCCGTGGCTCTGTGTCATTATTCTACTAGAAACTATCTCTTCTCATTATCTGGTTTTCCAGTCACAGCTGAGCAACAGCAAGGAATCGGTTGTTGCACATTAGGGAGGGACAGTTTTCTTTGCGGTGGGGGAGATCTGATGGAATCTGGTCTCCTACAGAACAAGTCCCAGCTTTTCAGCCTGCCCAATCTCTGTTGTTCGTAAGTGGGGATGGTGGCTAGTGCTCTTATGGGCAGAATTACCTGAGTTCCATACTAAGGAGCTTGTCTGTTGTCTGCTTTCTGTGTTTGAGCACATAGTGAAGCATGCAGGTTCTGATGAGTCCTCTTCAATTTTTTAAATTTCAGGACCTCGCAGCAGGGTGTCTGGAGCAGCGGCTGGTGAAGGTGGAGCACCCCATTCTCCGTATCCCGCATTTGGCTATCCATCTCCAACGTAACGTGAACGAGAGCTTTGGACCGAACACGGAGAACCACCTGTGAGAGTATAAGCCATGGCTGTCCTGCCCTGCTTCAGGCTCTGTCCCCCGCTGGGGAGACATCAGGTGCCGGCCCCTCTGGCAGGACCTGGCCAGCATTTCCGATCGGCCCCCGCCAGTGGAGCTCTGTCTGCCTGAGGGGGAAATAGTGATTTCCTCCAGGGCTCTTCCTTCTTCTGAGTTCATCCGGGAAGGCCCTGTAGTGGGCTCTGCCTCTTGGAGAAGGGCATACTCCCATTATGGCACCCCAGCTTTGGAATCCCCTCCTCAGAGAGGCCTGTCCACACCTCACTATTCTCTTAAACCTTCTGTTACCTACACTGGCATTCGGAGTGGGAGGCTCAGCTCTGGGACAGACGAGACATGGCACATGGACGTTGCTGCCATTTTAAAGAGATTGAAAAATGCCAGAGGGCCCATTCCTGATTGGGCCCGCAGCATGAAGGGCTGAGGAGCTCTTGTCACACACACACACCCTCACACTTTTTCAAGTGCTGAAGCAACTCGGGGGGTGTGGGGTGTGGCAGGATTGGCACTTGAGAAGGCACGGGGCAGGGGACAAGAGTGCCTCGGCACTCTGTGCTGTGGGCCCAGTTGGGCCCTCATGGCATTTTAGAATCTCTTTCTGATCATATTTCTGACAAGAGCTGTTCTTGAAAAAGAGCCGTTTCTGTCAGAGCTCTCTCAGCCCCACCTATGTCACAGGGTGTCTGTCTGTTGTGGGGCGGGGAAGGGAAAGGAGTTTGTAAGCCGCTCTGAGACCCCTTTGGGTAGTGAAGGGTGGGATATAAATCCAATCTCTTCTTCTTCTTCTAAAATCGTGACAGCATCCACAGGTTAGGCCTGTGACTGCCAATATGTCTAGTTTAGCCTCTGTCTTTGTATTTTGTTAATATCCAGGCTTGTTCTTGTTGTAAACAATTGATTTTGTTTTCAGTTGTTTTTAAAGAGCATTTAGTACACTTTAAAATGTTCTTCAGGGTTTTTTTCCCCTTTAAAGTCTGACAACTGTGACCTGTCTTTAATGGCTTCTTTTTGCTTGGATAGCCAAGTGTCAGGAAGCTGTCTCTCAGGGTTGTCTTTTTCTGTCAAGGAGGTGGAAGGAAACACACCAGTTTAACTTTACCCTTCAGCCAAACCAAAGTTATCCAAGGCAAAGGAGCTCTCTGGGTTACAAAACCTGGGGAAATGTGGTTTAAAAAGCTCTTTTAATATATATATATATATAATTCATTTTTTTAACCACACTATTACAACAATATTTGACACAAAGAACAGTTACCAGCTCGCTTAAACAGTTTCCCCCCGGTAGCTCTTTTAAAAAGCTCTTTTAAGTGTCCCAGGTTCTCCCTCTGGCTACTGAGAGCCATGCTCACCGTGGCGAGTAACTTCACTGGTATTGGATTGTTGTGTTCCTTAAGAAAATACGTTAAGTGGGGTTAAGATGTGTTACACCCTTTTGGAAGCCCTCTACACTTTTGAACAGTAATTGTTCCCCAGATCTCAGTGCCCGTCTGTGTCCAGGCACCCCATGGGGAGACCATGTTGGGCCAGCTGACAAGCCTGCCTTTCACAGGGTCCCGATTTTGGCCACGGAAGCACAGGAAGCACTAGAGAAGGAGGTGTCCAGTGCAGGTACTGCTTGTACCTCAGCTGTCCAGGTAAGATGAGAGCGGAAGGAGGTCAGTTTTTTTTCTGCTGGGGTGCTGAGGCAGGGCATTGGGCCTAAACCCTAGATGAGACTTCGCTGCTTTGGGGAGGCAACACACCTCTGTCACAATTTCATTTACAGGAGAATCGGCATCCTCCAGCTCTGCTGTCCCTTCTCTGCTCCCAGCTGGGGGTGAATCCTGAGCAGGTGGTTGAGGTAGAGCTTTGCCTGGTGGATACACAGCCTGCAGTGAGTTCCAGCCTCAGTTGTTGGTTTGTTGGGGCCCTCTTTTAAAAGTCAGGTTGTTAGATGGATGAAATGTTGTCCTTGCACTATACAATCCTCCATAGAAGGTGACTGTCAGGATCCACAGCAAAACAACGAAGTACACGCTTCCAGGAAGGTTTTACTTTTATTGAAAAGCCATAGATGCAGTAACAGGAACACTGTTAGGAATGGCGGGTTACCTGTGTGCATAATAGGATATAGGGCATTTGTATGCGCCACTCCCCTAGCAATAACCAATTAGGTGGGCTCCCACGCGCGGGAGACTGCCAGGCTCTCTAACGGTAGCAAAGCTGGGAACGGAGACGCTCCCACGAACGATAGACACTACAATCTCCTCCAGTAACTCTTTACAGATAAGTGTTGCAGCTGAGAAGCAATTAAGCGCATGGGAAGGGATGCAAAGCAATTAGAAGGCCTCTCCACACTCATGGCAGCTTAGCTGACAGTGACCTCTAAGAGAGAACCACAGAGAGAGATGCTAATGCCAGCTGTGTTTCTGGAAGATGATATTGGTTTTGGTCTTCAAAAACCTCCTACCCGGAAGAGTACTAATCCCTTTATGATCCTCCCCACCTGTGATTCTTTTTCCAGACCCTTGGTGGCGCCTTCAATGAGTTCATATTCTCCCCTCGCCTGGACAACCTCCACAGCTGTTACTGTGCCCTGCAGGTGGGTATCTAGGGTGAGGCTAGGACCAAAGATTGGCACTGTGCCCAGTCGTCTGTTGATTTACCATTTAATTATTTATTTATGATTTCAATTTGTATCCCGCCTAGCCACAGGACTGGCTCAAGGCGGCTAACAACATTTAAAACACTAAGACAATAAATACATTAAAATACATTAATAAATTAGGACTACATAACCACTAGGTAGTACTAGTAATGATGGCAATGAAGCTGGCGGCATACACTATACAGACAAAGGCAATAACCAACTGCTGTTTTATGTTGTCCAAGATGTGTTCCAGCGGCACCAACAACTTTGGCGCTGTCTCCAGTGGCCCCCTCCCCGGTGGTGGCTCCTCATCGAAGGCCTGGTGGAAGAGCTCCGTTTTGCAGGCCCTGTGGAACTCTAAAAGATCCCACAGGGCCCTGATGTTATCCGGGAGCTCATTCCACCAGCATGGAGCAGCCACCGAGAAGGCCCTGGCTCTAGTAGCGGTCAACTTGACGTCTCCCGGGCCAGGAAAGGTCGGGCGATTCTGTGTTCCTGACCTCAGTGCTCTCTAGGGCACATATGCCATGAATGTCCCTGTTCATACTCAAAAGCTGAGATGGGAGGATGATCTACATATGTTGCCATTTTGACATGTTTGTATCTATTCCTGTACTTGGTGAGCAGCTATGTAATTCCTCGTGGGATATTAATGGTCCTATGCCTTTAGAAGTTTTTTGTGAAGGTGAGAATTTGACAGGGGCTGCAGTTTCCAGTACCATACTTGGAGAAGAGGCATCTTATTAAATTCTCCTTTCTGTTCTAAAGGCTCCTTTTGGTTTTTGTCTATAGCAAACTGTCCAGTCTATTGAGTTTGACCTAGAATGAGGGCTGTTTAGAGCTGAGCCTCAGCTCCCTTCCAGTTGCGTTCACCCTCAGGAGAGCTGGAAGGAAACTAAGCTCTCAGCTTCCCTGACCGTGCCTACTTCTTCAGATCTTCTGGGGGTGCATGACTAGCAGCCATGAGGACTTCCTTCCCTCCTTTTTAGCAGAGTGATGTGTGCTCTGGAATACTCCTTGCAGGGGGTGGGGTAATTGTTGACAGCCTGACATTCCTTCTTCACTTATCCTTTCTGAAGCGGGCCTTGCGTCTTTTAATCCTTTCTCCCGTATCTTAGAAGCTGTTCCCTAACCTTATGGGTGGCTTGAACAGTAGCCAGCATTTCAGGTGTGCCAAACCCAAGTTCATCTTCAGGGTGTCCACTCTTGCCAGGTTTCTTGTGCCTCTCCTGGGTGTACTAGTTGCCTGATCTCTGTGGCCCTGGCCCAGCTTTCCTCCTAGAATTTCTGGAACGGGTTTAGTAGGTGAAAAAGGGACAGATGTCCATACCTCACCATGTCATTGGCACTCCTTTCTGTGTAAATCTGGTTGTGTGCTAACATGTCATCTCACAATCTAGCAAATTCATAGAGCAGCCGAAAGTGCTTCTGAGAGTCTCATCTTGTCAAGCTTACCATTTCCCTCCTTGTATCTGTTTGTACAGGCATTGATTGAATCCAGTGACGGACCTGGAGTACTGGCCAAAGAGTCTAATGTTCGCCTGGTTGCATTATATGACAACGAAGAGGTTAGTGGGAGGTGCTGATGGGTAGACAAAAAATGGAGGGCCCTCCAGGGCAGGTCGTTGGTCACGATGTGGAAGAGGATGCTGGACTTAGACGAATCTCTGGTCTGTTCCAGCAGGGATCTTCCTTATGTTAAGGAGGTTATACTGTTCTGTGCCAGGTGACTCTTGTTGGGAAAGGCTAACACTGATGCATGAGGGGTTTGGGTGGGACATATACCCCGACAAAGGGGCAGCTGTAGATCTGAGGTTGGGGAGAGGAAACGACTTCGGGGTAATCTCCAAAGTAAGATGGGAGCTGAATCTTAGATGGCCAAAAAGGAACTTCTCAGCTCCTTCACTGAATATGCCTCCCTGGCAGGTGGGTTCAGAAAGTGCTCAAGGCGCCATGTCTCTGCTTACTGAACTTGTACTTCGACGGATCTCAGCTTCACCACAGAATTTGACTGCGTTTGAGGAAGCTGTGCCCAAGTCCTGCATGATCAGTGCAGACATGGCCCATGCTGTGCACCCCAATTACGCGTGAGTACATTGCTGTTCTCAGGAGGAAGAATTGTACTAGAGCTGTTTGTTTTCTGTTTTGTAACTGTTTCATTAAATATGGAATATTGTTCCATATTTAATATTGCTCCATGTATTTGCACTCTTGCTGCACAGATTTAGAAGTGAAAGTCAGTGGCTTGAAGTCCGTCGCTTTCACTTAAAACAAACATTCTAGACTTTGGTTCTTTAGCACTTGTAAATAAATAACTTGGTCATTGTTTTTATTGAAAAATCCAATAAACAAAGTTCCATATGGGAGACTGAAATTAGTTAAAGAAAATGCAAGTGGTAATCACACTGTGTGAGCCTGATATCAGCATTTTTTTCATCATTAAAACTTTAGTTAAGCAACAGTTAAAAATTTCAGAATAAACCAGATAATATGTCCTGATCTTATGACTGAGAACATTAAGAAAAGTTAGATCGTTAAAAATCCAATTAAGAAAATGTCTTTTCTTTCTGGTCCTGTTATGTCTTAATTAGGTTTTTGGAGATGATGCACCCTGTCAGCACTTGTATTCATTCTGAGTACAGAGAAGTACCTGTAACCATGTGATCATTAAGACTGAAAATACCTTTATCCCACCCTCCCCACATAGTAGGCTCAGGGTGGGTTCCAAACAATATACACTATACAGCAATTAAAAGTTAAAATGCAAATAAAATACAGCAACATTCATCCATTACTAGTTAAAGCCTCACAGATGCCATCTCTTTCAAGTGTTGATCCTTGGATGGTAACGCAGTTCTGACCCACTGAGCGGAGGCCCAGTAGAGAGGGAGGGTCGTCCGCAACTCTAATTAAAAGCCTGGCGGAGGAGCTGTTTCTTGCAGGCCCTGCGGAAGTGTAAAAGGTCCCGCAGGGCCCTGATCTCATGGGGGAGCTCATTCCACCAGGTAGAGGTGAGACAACATCCCTGAGGCTGGGAACCACCAGAAGATGTTGGTTGGCAGATCGTAAAGCCTTTTGGGGCTCATAGAGGGAGAGGCAGTCTCGCAGATATGCAGGCCCATGGCCGTAGAGGGCTTTAAAGGTAAGCACCAACATCTTGAAAGGGGCCTGGTACTCAATAAGGCAGCTGGTGCAGTTCACACAGCACCGGGTGGACCTACGTCTGCACAGACAATGAAGTCAACACCTGTGCTGCTGCGTTCTGCACCAGCTGCAGCTTCTGGAGCAGAATCAAGGGCAGCCCCACGTAGAGAGAATTACAGTAATCCAATCTGGAAGTGACCATTGCATGGGTCACCATAGCCAGGTCCCAGGGGGTGAGATATGGGGCCAACTGCCTGATTTGTCTCAGATGGAAAAAGGCAGACCTGGCAGAGGCGGCGCCTTGGGCCTCCGTAGTTAGTGAAACATCCAGGAACACCCCCAGGCTCTTCACCTTCAGCACCAGCCCCAATAGGGTGTCAGGACCCACAGCAAATCAACCAAGTACACGCTTCCAAGAAGGTTTTACTTTTATTGAAAAGCTATAGATGCAGTAACAGGAACACTGTTAGGAATGGCGGGCGTTCTATGCGCATAATAGGTTATAGTTCACATCCAGCCCCCCCCCCCCCCCACGGAATACCCAATTACAGGGGTTCCCACGTGCGGGCATTAGGCTGAGAACTAACGGCTGCAAAAGCAAAACAGGTAAGATGCTTCCCACGACTCTTGCTGGTCAAAGACACAGTTACTCCTCCAGTAGCCTTGGGAGATATGCGTTGGGAGATTCTGCGCAGCTCCCACTGCCCACAGCAAGCATGATGCAGCATTCAGCCTCTGCTGTTGGGCCTACCATGTTTTCCACTCCCACACGGCCAGCAGGCCTGGCACAGCTCTGGTTCAAATCCAGTGTGGCTCTCAGCCTCCAACGCCAAGCCCACCGCATTTCCCAACCCCCCTTTGCCTTCATTGCTGTCAAGCCCCGCAGCACCTGGCCTCTGCTGGCTGGCCCACCATGGTTCCTGTCAACCCCACCAATGGAGCACTGCCAGAGGAAGTAGGTTCATTGCCTGTTTGTGTGCAGACAACGGAAGTGTTTTGGGGTGATTTTAATCCTCCAGTGTATTTTTTTTAAAAAAATCAGATTTTTCTGCAAACCTAATGAGTCTCCCAAATTTGCATAAAAGCCTGTTTAGTGCAAGCATGGCCCTGATCTGCGAATTTAGGTATCCACACATAGGAGGCACATTTGGGAAATAATATATAGACAAGTGTGATACTCGCAGCAGGGGGGATTCCCCCTCCACTTTTCTGCCAGGCCCAGCATGTCGCTTGGGTCGCATGGCCCATTGTGTCTCCTAGACGTAGCAGCCACCAGCACCGAACCCAATGGAGCTCCCGGGGGCTGTGCAGCTGCCAGGGCCAGCATAGTCCCCAGGCCAACACCAGGCCCAGCATGGCCCCCGGCCTCTCCTCTAGCTACCTCCAAGCCCAGCACAGCCTCCGGACTGCATCACTGCTACCTCTGCTGAGCCTGTCGCAGCCCCGGGGATGCTTTGCCATGCAGAAGATTAGGTAGTAAAGAGCATTCTTTGCACAGGTGCAGAGATTGCTGTTTTACTTGGGGGGGATTTAACACACACACACACACGTATTTTTTTGTAGAATTCAGATTTTTGTGCAAACTCAAGTTTGCAGAAAAATCTGTTTATTGCGAGTATGGCCCCAATCTGCAGATTTAGATATATAGATAGATATCCCCCCCCCCGATACCCTACTAATCCCATCTAAGTCCTGAAACTTTTAATACCATTCTTTCAGGCTGAAAACTTCCATAGAATTTTAGCATGTCTGTCCATAGTTTAGATAGCCATGTCTATCATGTAGAATACAGTTGTTTCTTCTCCTTAGGCACTGATCTCTTTAACTGAGTTTATGGGCAGATACAATGATCCAAACATAAATTGGTTTTTAAAGTTTGTTTAAAATATGTGACCAAAGTCTTTTTACCATAGGATGACAATGGTTATATAAATTTAGTGAATGAAACACTTGGATAGAATCATAGAATCATAGAATGGTAGAGTTGGAAGGTACCTTGGAGGTCATCTAGTCCAACCCCCTGCACTCTGCAGGTGCGTAGCCTAAAGATAGCCCTACAACCTACCCAAAAGATGGGTAGGTTGCAGGTCTTCTTCTACATGACAGCCCTTCAAATATTTGAAGACTTCAATCATGTCCCCTCTAAGCCTTCTCTTTCCCAGGCTAAACATACGCGACTCTTTCAGCCTTTCCTTGTAAGACTTGGATTCCAACCCTCTCACCATCCTGGTTGCCCTCTTCTGGACACGCTCGAGCTTGTCAACATCCTTCCTAAAATGGGGTGCCCAAAACTGGACACAGGACTCCAGGTGAGGCCTGGCCATAGCAGAATAGAGCGTAACTACCACTATCTGGACAGAATGATAAAAGTATGTGGTACCAATACCAGGAGCTGGATTCAGCCTTACCAATTCCTGCCCCTGCAAAGCTGAAGGGGCCAAAATATCTCCCTATCATCTTAGGCCCATTAATTCATTAAAAGTCACCTTAGTAGAATCCTTGACTATACTGAGCTGTTTCGGGGCCTTGAGTCTTGTGTAAAGCCCTCGTAGGCAAACAGGTGAGGCTGAGCAGGTAGCACACTCAGGCTTTGCAGGTAGACAGTTTCTTCCAAGCCCGATGGGTGGTTAAGGCAGTGTATGACAAAGGTTAGGAAGTGGATGTGCTTCTTTGGCTTTAAGATTTGTATCTTACGGTTCCAGAGTGCACGCTTAACCTTGACTACTCCCACATACAAGCTGTGCCTTCAGCTTAGATGGAACTCGCAGCATCATTGTCCAGATGGTCTCTTTCTCCCCTTCCCCATACTATCACTAGCATATGGCATCAACAGAACTCACTTTCATCACTGAATGCTCCTCGGTTCCAGCAACAGACCAACACACCCAGCATGGAATCTGAGTTCCAGCATATGAAAATTGCTGCTTGTTCACCACCTAAACTGTCTTCTTTTTTTCAAATGGTCCCCCATGCTTCCTCTTCCTTCACTGGTTCCCATCTCAGGTATATGTTCAAAAAAGCAGAGGTACTGAGCAGTACATGATACGATGCTTTTCCCCCCACCCAGGGACAAGCATGATAAGAACCACCGGCCAGAGTTTCATAAGGTAGGCAATTGGTATTACATAACTACAGTACAATGCTGAAAATTAAGGTATGGGAAACTGTATGCAATTGTCCCACTGAGTGTAGGCTATAAACCTGGCAGACCTCAGATGTTTGTAAACTGTGAAGAACAGTTGCCACAGAGGTAATTTAACTTCTTCTGAAGCCAGTTGCATGCATTCTAAAGTAGACTGAAGCAGGGATGGCTTGCCGGGGTGATGTCATGCGAAAGAAGATTTATGTGAGAACTTGGTCCAATAAATGCATTATAAATAAGTTCTCATTCAGGGGCTGCTTGGCAGCAGCAGCTACAGTGTGGGAGATGAATATTTACTTAGGTTTGGCCTAGATACAAGGATGTGGAAAGTAACATTTTAATTTCTGGAGACAGTATCTTCTCCTAAATATGAACGGGGGGTAGCCTTACGCTGAGAAGGGGCATCGGTGGGAAGAAATGTATGCAGTATGGCTCTCTTACCCACTTTCCCCCAGTCTCAGTTTACTTCCCACAATTAGAAAAGATACCTGTGCCGACCTTGCTATTTGGGAAAACAGTTTTACCTTTAAACACTCTCTGTGTATATAAACGTGGTAGTTTTCTGCTGCCACCAGGAATTAAAAATTCCAAATCTCTCTCTTTTGGTAGTATGACCCTAGGGTCTGGGCACTTCAGAGGACTATGTGGCCCTGAGGAAGTACTGTACTGATTTCTGGGATAAGTTTAAACAAAAATGATTTATTTAATAAAGAACAAAATTGGTTTCTGGTTATTTTGAACAGTTGCTGAAGAAAGGAACTTGTAAATATAACTGACAAAGCTTGGTACCACAAACAGTCTCTCAAACTCCACTCTGACACGCTTATACATTCAGTAGACTCTCTCTCTTATATATATAGCCACACAGATTAAACTGCTGGTCTTATTCACACAGAATCAGACTCAGAATTCCATAGTCACACAGACTATGTTCTCTCTTCAAGCTTCACACACAGAATCCTTCATAACTGAGTCACACAGACTCTCTTCAGAACTCTTCCATTCTTGTCTCTCTGGTATCACAGAATCTCCTCATAGACACACACACAGAATCCTCTCAGACACCCCTCCTCCCACACTCTCAGTCATCAGCCAATCAAATCACACTTGTCACCCTCTCTCACTCTTCTCATATTACTGCAGTCAAACTAAACATTTAAAGGAACACACACACCAAAACATGGAATCATTACAATACCTTTACACATTTATTTCCTGTTTGACATATTTATTGCTTTTCTGTTTCTCCCCTTAATTAAATCAAAACAACTGTTGACATTATAACCTTAGCTTGTTATTTAGTTTTGTCTTTGCATATCTTAAAACATCTTCATCATGTTACATGTTAACTTCCTGTTCAGCCTCTGTCTGTACGTTTGGACTCGTACCTTCCATTCCAATCTATTTGACAAAGTGTGCATGTACATGAAAGCTTATACCTTGAATAAAACTTTGTTGGTCTTAAAGGTGCCCCACTGGATTCTAAATGTGTTCTACTGCTTCAGACCAACACGGCCTGACCCTCTGGAACAACATCTTTTCTCCAGAAAGGCAGAGGCATCCTTCCCATAGATTTTAGTGTGCTTGTCAACTATCTGTAAATTGATGCAGGGCCAGGGGTATTGTCAACTATCTGTAAATTGATGCAGGGCCAGGGGTATTGTTGTAGAACATAGGGGTTGCAGGAGCAAGTGTTGGTCCAGTTTTGCATGTGAAGACTGCAAGGGATTGTGCATCGCTGGGGAACCATATGCCCATAGCACTGCTGCATTATTTGGAAGGAGGAGATCTACAGAGTCGCCCCCCTCTGTATTCCAGTGGCCTCTTCTGATTTACAAAATAGCCTCCTATTGTTTCAGGCTTGGGAACTCAGACATCAAGTATGCTCTTTATGGTGGGTGGGTAGGGCTGCCAAGTCCCCCCGGGGGGCGGGTTTCCCCCCGATTTGGAGCCCCGATTTCCGCCGCCGCGGAATCGGGCCCCGG